GGCCTCGAGCTCAGTGAAGCCATGATCAGACATGGGCTTTGGAAACATTCGCCAGCTCCAGCACCTCTTCTGTGTCCCAGACCAGCTCTCGGGCCATGCCGGGGATGGAGACAGCAGTGGAGGAGTCAAGCACACAGCCTCCCACCCCAACCCCCAGTGAGGACCCTGGGAGACGTTGCCTCAGCAGGATGCCCCTTCATTCTTACACGGCCCAGTTTACAGATGGGGAAACTGAGGCCCAGAGAAGCGCACCGGTTTGCCTGCAGTCAGACAGCAGAGGGTCTCGCAGCCAAGGCTCTGGCCTGGACAGTCTGTGCCCTACTGCCCTGCTGTCCTTCCCTCTTTCCCTTCCTGTCCTCACACAGGCCACACAGGGAGAGAAGAAACACACACAGCAGGCCCCGGTGATTTTTTTTGTTTGTTTGCTTTGTGTTTGTTTTTTTTTAAGGCTGTATAGCTGCCGCATCTTAAAAATAACACAGATGTGGAATGAGATAGATGTGGGTTCAAATTCTAGCCCTGCCTGTGTGCCCTGGTACAGGTTCTTCACCTCTCTGACCTCAGTTTCCTCATCTGTAAAATGGGGTTAATAACGCATACCCCGCCCCTTCCAGGTTGTCATAAGCCTGATGGTATTTAGAGAGCTCAGCTCAATGCCTGGCACACAACGGGTCCTAAGTGAAAGCTCGTCCTTACTCCTTTGTAACTCTGCTGTACTGTCTCTAGTGCAGACGAACAGGGTCTGTGGTCCTAGAGAATTATAGCCCAAGAAGGAGGTCAGACAGAGCTGACATGTGGTGGAGCAGGGAGCAGAGGGCGACCAGCCACCCTGGCCTGAAAGCAGGGTTGTGGTAGCGGCCGCCAGGGCCCCGCACAGCCACCCTCCTGTTGGGCCCAACGCTAACGACTTCAGTGTGTCTCCCCTTTTAGCTCAAATATTTCTGAAATGCACACTGCTCGTTCACACATAGCCGGAGGGGCCCGGGGGCCTCCCCAGCCTGTGCAATCAGGGCCTCCTGATTGCTTTCTTCTGTGCAGTCTCCAGGAAGGAGAGGGGGTGCGGGCGCAGTGGGGCCAGGGCCAAAGCGGCTCCCATGGCCCGAACCCTGCTTCCCACTGAGGAAAGCATTCTGGGCTGGTGGCTGGAGGCCCTGGTTCCAGCTTTCGCCTGTATGCTAAGAATCCGTGCACACAGCCTGTTTTCTCATCTATCCGTCAGAGTACCCAGGGCTTGGGAGCTGGACATTGCCATGGGGCTAGACCAGGTGGGAGTGCCCAGAGGCAAGTGAAGGGGCAGAGTTAGGCAGGGCGGGGCAGGGCCAGGTGCAGCAAGGGGGCCTTGGAGAACTGCTGGCCTTTCCTGGGCAGCCCCAGCTCCGCCTCTCCAGGCTCCACCCTCAGCTCTTAGCACGCCCTGCCCCACCCTTCACCCACCGTTAACTCTGACGAACCATGCTATTGCTCGCCTTGTCTTTGCCTCTGCTCTTGCCCACTCAGCCTCTCCTGACTTCCTTCTAACTTAGTCATCAAGCCTCCATTCAGAGTCACCTCCTCCAGGAAAGCCATCCGTCCCTAAATGGGTTATGGTCTTCCTTGCTTTCCACACCCAGTTCCTATAACCCATAGTACCCCGTGCACATCCACATTGCCGTCTTTGTCACAGAGTGTGGTGATTAATTATCTGTATACGGTGAAAACAGCATCCCTTGCATGAGGGATTGCCATTGTCACAGTGAGGATGGGGTTGGGGACATTGCCAGCACTTCGGAGGCAGTTTGATGGAGCCTAGTGGTCCCCAAAGCCTGGGAAGTGAAATGATGTTAGGTAGTTTGCAGGCATTTTTAATTATAATAATCTTGTGTTTACTGTCTTTTTTATGGCAAATGATACTGGTTTTCCATTTATAATAATGATTACTTTTTCCTCCTTAAAATGCACTTAAGAAAAAAGAGTCAAGTGGAAGAAAGAGAGTAAATAAGTACAGGGTGTAGGTGGAAATGGCTGAAGTCATGAATGTTGTCCTGATGAAGCAGAACATGAGCATGTGTTCAAATCCTGCAGTTTGAGGGGCACTGACTTCCTACATAGTGAGGGGAGAGCTACTATGTGTCAGGCCCTGTGCTGGGTCTCAGGGACCCCAGAACCAGGACCCCGCACCCACCCTTGGGAGAACCACAGACCATTGGAAGAACCTGGCAGGCAGGGGCAGTTCCCACCCAGGGTATCTGCAAGGGCTGGGGCAGAGCTGTGAGGTGTTATAGATTCTGGAGGACTTCCCAGAGGAGGCGACCTGAGTGGAGACTTCAGGGATGGGGAGAATTAGACTGGACAAAGAAGGGTGGAGGGGGGAAGATCAGAAGGAACGGTACATGTGAGTTGTGAGGTACAGGGGTAAGAGAGAGCACCACCCTTGCTGTGCAGCTGGGGCATAGCTCATGAATGGAATAGATGTGTAACCTTGGGCAAATCCTGAGCCTTTGGAAACGTCAGTTTTTCCATCTGTGAAATGGGACAGCATCAACTATCTCTTTACAAAGTAGTGAGAATGTTCGTGAGGGTCTCTGGCTGCAAATAAAACCTTTGAGGAGATGAATTTTTTCCCTTTGTAGGTTTTTGGGATTAGAGGGCAGATGCCTGAGGAGTTTGGGGGAAAAGGAAAGAAGTGCTGGTGGTGAAAACAGGGCTTGACTTCCTGGAACACCGCCCCCCACCCCACCCCCACCCCGCCCAGGTTCCTGAGACAAGAATTACTAATTCCGTTCCCTGGGGGACTGAGTTTGACTTCTGTGCTTGGTTTGAGAGGAACAAAGGAAACTCCTGACATCCCAGGAAGGTAACATCAGACAGACTGGGAAGGGCTGGCTCCCCAGAGGCTGTGGCCATCAGGCAAGAGGCTGATGTTTGTCAGATGTTGGCAGGCACAGCCTGGGGCGGGGCCATGGGGAGGAAGCCGAAGATGAAGGCTCCTGGACCCGACTGCGCTTTCAGGGGCCACCTAATGAGCTCAAAGGAAATGGCGTGTGTGCAGGCCCTGGGTCCGCCAAAAAGCACCACACTCAATCCATGAAAGGAGAGCCACCACTCACTGAGGACCAGCTTTGTGCTGGGCCCCAAGCTAATACACTTCCCGTCACATTTAGTCCTCCTGTCCACACTCAGAAGGTATCATGGCTGTTCTCCAGGTGAGGAAACTGAGGCTTAGAAAGATCACGGGTCCAAGTTTACAAAGCAAGTAGGCGGCAGAACAGGTTCATTGGAATCGAAGTCTCTCTGATCTCCCAACACCCCTAGTTTATCCGCTTTGCTTACCTGCCCTTTTTTCAGAAGGTGGAGGGAGGTGTCAATATTGAAAAGCAAAAGACCAAGCAAAGTTGCAGGGTGCACGCCCATGTCTCCCTTCCTGCCACAGCCCCGCGGGGAACAGCTTTCACAGAGGTGGGTTCCCAGGCAAAGCCCAGAACTGGCACGGTGAGAAGGGAGGATAGGAGGCGCCTTCCTTTCACATCCTTTGAGGGGCCTGCAGACTTCACACTCCTCAGTCCATTCCTGGCTGTGAACCAGGCAGCCCTTGACTTCCGGTCCTTCTGAGATCCTCCCCTTGCTTGTTCCAGATGTGGGACACAGAGAGGGGCAGTGGGAGCCCCTGGCCTAAGCTCGCCCAGAGTCCAAGGACTGAGCACCAGCTATTAGTGTATGACTTTTGGCAAGTCATTTGCCCTCCCTGGGCTGAAGTTTCCACCCATACAATGAGGATGTCAGTTCGCAGTCCCTCTGGGCTGTGGAATCCTCTAGGGCTTGGCCTCTGGGTCAGCCCAGGAATCCAGCCAAGGGGTGGGGCCACCTGCTTGGCGGGCTTGCACCCGACCCCTTTCTCATCCCAGCAGAGTCGCTCCTCTCCCTCATTCGACGCAGCTCCTAGCAGCTGTTCCTCAGGCCCAGGCAGAGAGCCCGGCTTGGCGCGTCTCTGGTTGAAGCCAATGAGAGAAAACAGGTTAAAAGTTCAGCCCTTGTTCTCTCCAGGAAGAAAAATCTGTAGCATTCCGAGTGTGAAAAGGAACCTTTTTTCAGCTCCAAAGCAGCACAATAGAGCTTCCCTCCAATTTGCCATCAAAAAGACGTCCTTGGCACTGGACTCCACTGTCCCTGGTACCTTCCCTCCCCCATCGCCAGCCCCCAGTGCAAAGAGACACAATGACCAAAAGCACAAGCCACGGACGGTCATGGGGACACTGCTGCATCCTCTCTTGTCAGTTTGCTGGTCTGACTGGGGACACTCTGGCTAAATGCTTCCTCTCATCCCCACCCTCCATCCCCACCACCTCAGCCCTGGTTCAAGACTTTGTTGCTCTCATTTCAATCTTCAGAGCGGCCCGGCCATTGAGCACCTCACCCCTACTCTCCTTGCTCTAGATCATCCAGACTCTCAAACTAAGAATCTAGAAGTTGACAGGGTTGGAGGCAGGGAACCTGCAACTGCCACTCGGCCACCAGCTCCTATGTGATCCTTAGGAAGTCTCTTCCCCTTCTCTGTACCTCAGTTGTCCTGCGTACAGAACCGGGCAGTTGGGCCCGGTGGGGTGGGGTCTGAAATGGTGGGCGTCGGTTTCCCAGAGCACTGTGGTGAGACACGTCATGCAGCCGCGGTGCGTGGGGATTGAGTGGTGCTGCCTGCCCCGGGCCCAGAAGGGGAGAGTGGCAGCAAACACGCCTCTCGCCCCCTCTAACTGAGCTGGGTGGCGTGGGAGGGCCCACTGGGACCTTCTAGGTCCCTCCACCTGCTCTCTCATAGCTAGTTGTAGTCACACCTCATTTCTGCTACCAGACTGATCTGTTTCACAGTAGGGTCTTCCTAGTCATTGTTTTCTCTTCAGGGTACCAGGCACAGGGCCTTGTACAGAACAGGCATCAGGATATATCAGTATCTATTGAATGAATGCTTGAAAGGGGCCAGTTTAAATCTGCTCAGTGCATCCGGTGGTGACTCTTTGCTCTCCCCACAGAAACGCTGATGGACTCAACCACAGCGACGGCGGAGCTCGGCTGGATCGTGCATCCTCCCTCAGGGGTGAGTCGGTGGTCCCCCAGGATACATACCGTGGGTTCTGCTGTAGGGCCTGGATGCCCCCTCACATTCCAGCCCCTTCCCCTCCTTCAGAGCCCAGGGCCAAGCCTCTCACTTCCCCACCCACCTGGCCCCCTGCCATTGGTGGAGTGCCAGTTACCATGACAACATGCTGGATGCATTCAGCTGCCCCGTGGAATCCTCAGGGTGAGGCTCAAAAGTATATACTTGCACTGTCCCCTTTTAAAGATGAGGAAAATGAACTGTCATTTCCTGAGCACCCATGGTATGTCAGATACTGTCTCAAGCACCTTTCTACACATCACCTCCACTCCAAAGGGGAGGAATCACCTCCACTGTATAGGTGAGGAAACTGAGGCTCAGAGAGTTGTAGCCACTTGCCAGGGGCCCGACAGCTAGTAAGGGACAGGGCTCAGGTTTGTAGCCAGGGCTGTGACCGAGTCCTCTGGGCCCCCTTGCTGGGTCCCTGTGACGCAAGGCTCCCCGTCCCTGAGCTCTTCACACCTCCTTGCATGCAGTGATCTGAGCCCGTGTAATCTGCAGGCTCCCCAAGGGCAAGATCAGGCCCAGTTTCAGATTCCTCTCTCTCCCTGCTCCAGCGAGCCTAGCACTTGCATACAGGCTGTGGGGTAAGACCCCTGGAATTCTCTCCCGGTTCTGCCGCTCACCAATTGTGTGATTTGGGGCCAGTTCTTCAACCTCTTTGAACTTTAGTTTCCTGATCTATAGCATGGTACTCATAATGTCCTCCTCAGAGGACTCGTGAGGTTTCCCTGCGGAGCATCTAGCACAGTGCCTGGCTCAGAGTGGGCTCCCAATAATGAGGAGCTATAATAACTATTGCCATCGTCATTGTCACCGTCATCAGTTTTAATATCATTCCTTCCTCACCCCCCTGGTCTCTAGGGAGGGTACTGGGCTCCCACAGCCTATCCGTTCCCTTCCCCCCACCCCAGCATCTGTGCTGGGACTCAGCTGCTGCCCCATGGAGCTGCATAACCCACCTCCCCACCCCACCCCCCAAGGCCTGTGCTCTCAATAGGCAGGGCCCAGGGTCAGGCTTCTTTCTGTAGCTCTTTCTTGTCACCAATTTTCCATCTGTGAAGGCGGCAGGGCCCACGGCCCCACCCTGCCAGTAATGAGGCCAGGCTGGGCTGCAGGGCCCCCGGACGCAATTATTTGGGGTGTTTAGGCTGCAGGGCCTCCGCATGTTAATTAGAGAGAGGGGAGAAAGGCAGAGTGCTCTAATTAAGTGCTCTAATTAAGTTCTGAAGAAGAGCAGTGGTAGTAACAAGGGGCTGACTTTGTCACATGGTACCATAAAAAAAAAAATTAAATGCAATATAAGGAGCTTCGGAGCCGCCATTGAAGTAGAGACTGGGCCAGAAGGCCCCAGCTCAGCCTTCCCCACGCACACCCACCCTTCACAGCATCGTCCCTCCGCAGGCCAGCTGCTCCCGCTCCACCCTGTGCAGACTTGGCCCAGAGAACTGGAGGGGGACAAAAGGACAAAGAACGCCCACTTGAGGGTGACAATTCTCCCACCCCCACCATAGTCATATTTGGCAGTTAGGGAAAAAGAGGCCCAGAGAGGGGGCGTGACTTGCCCAAGGCCATACCTCATTTGCAGAGCTGGGACAAGACCCAAGGACTCTTGGGTCCTTGGGGTTTGGGGCCACGTGGGCAAACACCTGAACGAGTCTGGGGCTGTGTGACCTGGGTCAAGTGACCTCACTTCTGTGGTCTCTACTCCCTCACCTGTATAATGGGGATAACCATACGCACCACGTGTGATAAATGTGACAAAATAAATGAAATCCTATCAGCCCCCAGCCCATGGGCTGATGCAGGTGTGAAGGGGTGCTCTGCTGTTGGAGTTCTTTTGGGTCTCCCCTTTCTGGGTCTATCTGCTCTGGGTGAAGCCAGCAACCACCAAAAGGGGCACAAGAGAAGGAGGGGAACAGTAGCTACCCTCAGCAAGCTCTCCACTCCGCGGGGGAGACCAGACCAAGAGGGCGGAGAGGTGCCTGGCGTTCGCCCAGGCAGATTGTCCCCGGTGAACGCAAACACGCAGCCGCAGGGAGAGCCTGCTGCAAGAGGTTCCAGAAGGATGGACAGAGAAGATGATGGGGTGCTTGAGGAGGGCACAGCAGTGTGAATAAAGGCTCAGCCGTGCAAGTGGGCTTGGGCCTCGAGTGTCTGTGAGGAGAGAATAGGGGTCCTGTGCCCTTCCAGTCCCTACCTTCCGTGGCCCAGCTTGGCCCCCACTAGCCAGGAGGCTTGCGAACGCTCAGCTGGCTGCATGAGCGCCCAGGCTGGGGCTCGTGCGGATGCTGATGCTCCGGCCTGGGCAGGAAGGGTGGGAGGTCTCCCTCCAGGCACCATCTTAGCCACTTACTGCTCCAGAGCAGGGCTGCTGTTATAGGGAACGGCCCTGTCTTCTCAGTGACAGGGGTAAGGGCTCCTCTCCCATTGGATGGGAGTCCCCAAGGGCACAGACTGTGTTTCCCTGGTCAGACAGGGAACTTCCAACTGGCAGGAGTTCTGTCTCCCCCATCAGACTGGTAGATCCTCAAGCACAAAGCTCTGTCTGTTCTCAGTGAACCCCTTGGGGTAAGGACCACCTCTGCCACACCGACCAGGACAATACGAGGAGCAGGGTATGTGCCCTTCCCATCACATGGGCATGTCTCCCTCGTAGCCTGAGGAATTCCTCAAGGCCAAGGCCACGTCTCCGTCTCAGTTTGGCAGTTCTGTCATGGGAGGGACCGTGTCTCCATTGTCAAAATGGACAGTCCCTAAGGTAGAGTCTGTGCCTCCTCCCTCAGACTAGGAGGCCCCTGACGCTGGGAGTCCTGTCTACCCCCAGTCAGACTGGGGGATTCCCCAAGGTGGGGTCTGCATCTTTCCTTTTTGGGCGTCCCCTGGGGCTAAGCCCCTACCTCCCCCACCTGACTAGCATTTCACCCACAGTGGGAAGAGGTGAGTGGCTACGATGAGAACATGAACACGATCCGCACGTACCAGGTATGCAATGTGTTTGAATCAAGCCAGAACAACTGGCTACGGACCAAGTTCATCCGGCGCCGCGGCGCCCACCGCATCCACGTGGAGATGAAGTTCTCGGTGCGTGACTGCAGCAGCATCCCCAGTGTGCCCGGCTCCTGCAAGGAGACCTTCAACCTCTATTACTACGAGGCTGACTCTGAGGTGGCCACCAAGACCTTTCCCAAGTGGATGGAGAATCCATGGGTGAAGGTGGACACCATCGCAGCCGATGAGAGCTTCTCTCAGGTGGACCTGGGTGGCCGGGTCATGAAGATCAACACCGAGGTGAGGAGCTTCGGGCCCGTGTCCCGCAGTGGCTTCTACCTGGCGTTCCAGGACTATGGCGGCTGCATGTCTCTCATCGCTGTGCGCGTCTTCTACCGCAAGTGCCCCCGCATCATCCAGAACGGCGCCATCTTCCAGGAGACGTTGTCAGGGGCCGAGAGCACGTCGCTGGTGGCTGCCCGGGGCAGCTGCATTGCCAATGCTGAGGAGGTGGACGTGCCCATCAAGCTGTACTGTAACGGGGACGGCGAGTGGCTGGTGCCCATCGGGCGCTGCATGTGCAAAGCAGGCTTCGAGGCCGTGGAGAATGGCACCGTCTGCCGAGGTAAGGGCCACAGGGGGCAGGTGTTCCTGCAGATGCCTGGAGTGGGTATGGGGCCTGGCAGCTGGGAGGTCAGACTGGCAAGGGTAGTGGCCCGGAGGTGACCGTGGGGCACTCTGGCAAGGCTTTCCCAATGCACAGACATGGTTCAGCTTCTCAGAGGGAGGCATTTGAACAGCACTTCTTGATGGTGGTGCTTGGAGGTACTGCAGGGGGTTGCAAGATGATTTTGGTCGTATGAGGAAAAATGTTTCTCATTTTAATTATTATATGAATATTAACCGATGCTAAGGGGTGCTTTATTTCTTCATGTACAAAAGTGATACAGTTTCCTTCTTAAGAAAATGTATAGGTCATCACATTGATAAGTTAACATTTATTTAGCGTTTTCTCTATCAGTCAGTATAGGCCAGGCTATGCTGAAATGACAAAACAATAGACGTTTATTTCTCACTGCTACATGTCCATTAGAGGTCAGCTTGGGATGAGTCCTCCCTCTGGGAGCTGACTAGATGGAGGAGCCACCGTTTGGAATGTCATGATCACCAGACAGAAGGAAGGAGCGAGTGTGGCAGATTGTACACTGGCTCAAAAGCTTCTGCCTGGAATGGCCCCCACATTGCTCCATGCACATTTCAGTGGCCACAGAGCAAGACATGTGGTTGCTTCCCATGTAGAGATGGGGAAGTACGGTCCCCCTGTGAGCCCAGCCTCCTGGTCACCACTTTCACTGGGTGCTGGGCACCTTGATACATCTAACTCGCTTAATCCTCACAGGAACCCTGGGAGGGAAAATGCATTTTAAGAAATTGATAAATAAAACAAATAAAATTAAAAATCATTTAAGAAAGACATGGAGGTCCAGGGAGCCTTATTCTCATATAGAAATGGAAGAACCAGGAGTCTTACACCTACGTAGTGGGATTCCAAGCTCCCCCTCCCCCAAACTACTATGCCACTTAAGTTAATTTGAAGAATAACATTAAATAAACAATAGTACAGATGGTGTTTGATTATGGCAAAGAATCACAAAGATAGGTTGCAAACATAAGAAGGTTGTAAGAGGTCCTGCATGGTGCTAAGAAGGTTGTGAAGATAGATGGGTTCAAAGCTCTGCCAGTTCTTGGCTCTTTGTCCTGGGTCGAAACGCTCTTTCATGTGGTGGTTGTGAGGCTTCAACAGTTTAAGACCTGAAAAGCACTTACTATGGCCTCTAGTACACAGTGAGGGCTTAATAAATGTTAAATAAATGAAATGATGTATACAAAACCCAGCTTGGCCCAGGTACTCCCCTGGGTGAGCCGTGGCGGCGATGGTGGTGATACAGATTTGAAGCCTAATTGCGCCTCTTCCTCTTGACGTCCCACTGGAATCAGACCCTGGAAGTGCTCCAAATGACAGACCAAGAGTTCGGACCCTCTTCCAGGGGCCCCGAAGAGCCAGCGAAAGTTTGGCCTGGGGTGGTTGCAATGATTCTCATGTTTATAAAATGCTGTCACGCCCACCATCCCCACGGTGCCCCCACGTTCACCCTCTGGGCATTTTAAAGGTCCCTGGGAGGGTAAATGGAGGTACCGGAGACAGAAGCAGTGGCTTCTGGGGAAGCGGCTGCAGCGGCTGGGCACCCACAGTGCTGGGGAGGAGGAGAAGCGGGATCAAGGGATGTTTGACCGTCAGTCAGGATGTCACGTGGACACATGCAGGAAAGGGGGAGGGAGAGGAATCAAAGGGAATTCCAGGGAGGTGAAGGTCCTGGAAAAAAAAATGGGGAAGTTGGGAGAAAGGTGGTTTCTTGGGGCAGATAACAGATCTGGGTTTCTATACATGAGTGTGAAATTGTGCAGCCGTGGGAGATGGAAGGGCCTGCGGGGGCGGGGGAGGGGGACGAGGGGCGATAGAATCAGCCACTGCTTGCTCTTTATTCACTCCTCAAAGTTTCCTTACACCTGCTCTGTGTCAGGCCTTGTGCGAAGCATCAGATGTGATGGAGAAGAATCTGACTGCGGCCCTGTCCTCCAGGAGCTCCCAGTCGAGACAGACTATGAATGAACAAGGGAGGTGATGTTAGACTTGCGCTCATAGAAACTGCTCAGGCTGCAGTGGGAATAAAAAAAGGAGGGGAAGCTTCAGAGAGGAGGTGACGTTGGAGCTGGGAATCTTGGGAGCGAAAGATGTTGACTGGGTGGCCCAGCCAATCTGGAGGATGGATCTGCGTGACAAAAAGACCTGGGAACATGAATCACATGGGCCGTTAAGGGGACAGGTAGACTGTTTGGTATGGCTGTGGCCAAGGGCTCAAGGAAGGAGGTAGGAAGAACTGTCGCTCACTGGAAGGATGCCCAGAGGGGAGGTGTTTGGGGTCTGTTTCCGTGTTCACTCACATGGTTGCTTGCTGGCCTCGTTCGCCACCGCACGGTCCTTGCGTATGTGCAGTGGCATACCCCAGAACGAGGGATCCAAGAGAGTGTGAGAGTACCCAAGACAGAAGCCACAGCCTTTTCATAACCTCATGTCAGAAGTAACATTACTTCTGCAATATCCACTTCATTAAAAGTGAGTCACCAAATTCAGCTCACGCTCCAGGGAACTGAATCTCCCTGGTCACTCACTGGGGGCCATCATAGAGGATGCCTGTTACAAGCAGCTTCTCTGAATCTGAGCTTCTTGCAAGTAGTAGGGGTTTGAGGTACTGCTGGGGCGGGGTGTGCACCCAGCCCTGGTTCCCCTCTTCTTCCCCCGCCTCTTCCTCCGGGACTCGTAGCCTGCCCAAGGCCCAGGCCCCACCAGCCTCTGGGTATGAGCAGAGGCCAGTCAGAGTATGATTAATGAGCTCAGGGAGCCAGAAGGACCCCAGCTGCTGCAGTGGCCTGCGCTACAGCCACCCAGATGTGGGGCTGCTGCAAACCAAGTCCCACAGGCATGTGCCCTGCTGGCCCAGGACGTGTAGGAATGGTGATCACAGCTCACATCTCAGACATTGGCAAAGAGCTGTCTCATCCTCTAGTGCAGGGATTCTCAGCCTTCACTGTGCTTCAGAATTCATCAGGAAATGTGTTAAAATGCAGATTCCTAGGTCTGGAGCAAACCCCTCCCCCAGGTCTGGTTCTGGGGCTCTGAGGTGGGTCCAGGAATCAGCATTATAAAGCAAGCAGCCCCGATGCTTCTGTAACGAACGACCCTTAGCTCAGGCACACGGCCATATGTGTGCCTGTAACACATCCTTGGCCAGATGAAGACCACAGGCCCAGCCCCCCACCCCCGGGGGGCATCCACCCTAAACGGTGAGAGGGGACAGTAGCAGAACCTCTGGGAGGGTACGGCTTGGAAAGATCCATTTACTATTGAAACATAATTTGTTAGGAAAAAATCCATTGCTTCGTTAATGTGAATTAGAGAAAATAAGGCGGGATAAAGTCTTCTTGGCAGATGGGGGTAGGAGTCCTCCTGGGGAGTGGCCGCCATCCCAGGGGAGGGCCGTGGCGGCTAATGAAGGTGGGACCTCCCAGTGGGCTGAGTGGGTTACAGATCTAATGGTTAAACTGAGTCAGTCGGCCCCGCTTCCTCGGTGCCTACTATGTGCAGGGCACAGTGGGAAGGAAAGGGGCCTGGAGAAGCCGGTCAACCATCCAACGAGCATGAATTGAGTATACTCTGCGAGCCATTTAGCCCTTTCATATATACTTACCAAGTACCTTCTGTGAGCCAGGCACACGCCAGCGCTGCAAAACATAGGCGTGAACAAGACGGACACATTCGTTGCCCTCCCAGAGTTTTTAGTCTGGGTCGGGGGAGGGGTGGGGGGAGCTAGAGAGGAAAATGTTAATGAACAAATAAAACAGGTACAGACTGTGATGCATGAAATGGGGAAAAAATTAGGGTGCCACCGTAGAGATCCAAAGGAAGATCTGCTTCAGCCAGATGATTCCGGAAGGCTCCTTGGACGTCATGTCATTGAGCTGATGGGCCACCCTGGGAAAGCTGGAGGAGAGTGGCCGAGACGCAGGGTTTGGCCTCCAGTGACTGCTGGACGAGCAGGGGACTCAGACACAGGGGGAACAAGGCAGGGCATGATCCTTTTGGAAACGCGCTCCATCCAGGCAACGCTCTTAGAGAATATGAGGAAGAAGGCATCTTTTCTGGCAGGGTATCTAGCATGGTTTCATGGAGGAGGTGGCATTTGAATTGGGCCTCGAAGACTAAGTAGGAGTTGGATGGGTGAAGGGAGGGAGAGAACTGTTGGTCAAGGGACCGAATGTATAAAGGCCCTGAGGTGGCATGCGTGGTGGGTGTCACATGGTTCACTGCATGCAGGGGCTAAGGCATGACTTCCCCTCATTCATCCACCTGTTCACTGTTCCCTGAGTGTTCAGTCTGGGCCTGCACCAGCCATGCAGCTGCCAGGTGGGGATTCCTGCGACTTCCTTCAGAAGAACTCTGCCCCCTCCCCCTACTTCAGTCCCCAGTCTCCTCAGGTTCGCAGTCCCCGATGGGGCTTGCCACCAGTGGATCTGCTGGGACTGGCAGGAGCTTAGCCCTCCAATCCTTCTCTGCAGCACCTGCGCCCACCCAAACCCGTTTCCCTGACTCTTTCCGGATACGTAGGGGTTTGATTGCGAAACTGGGACCCCCTCAGTTTCTCCAAGTTGCTGTCTGTATCCTTATTTCCCTTGGTCTCGCTTCTCCTACCTGCACCTCTTCCCACTCCTGTCCATTGCGAGCCCCCGCCTGGCCACTGTTGGGGGCCCTGCCCTCCTCTCTCCCAATGGCAGACACATCTATAATGAATCCAGGAGCAGTCCCACTGTGAGCACCATGGCTGGGATACTATGGGGGCCTAGGGATTTTTAATAGTTAGCTTGGCCTGGGAGAGGGGCAGTGAGCCAGTAGAGTGGGGTGGGGGCGGGGGGGATGGAGGAGGGAAGGTGAAGGCACATGTTGATCTTCTGGCTCCAACTCAGGCTTCCCAGTTCCCAGCTGTTGGGCTTCTCCTCCCAGCCTCTCCC